GTTGGTTCAACTCTTTAGTTACCAGCGTTTTTTATGTCTTGGAGATATTTGGCGATATTTCGTTCGTTAAACCGTGGAACGCTAATTCTCGTAAAGTAGCATTCTGCATTTTGTTGTTATACATGTCGCAGCAGAGAATAGAAGACACAACTTTAGTCTACTAAATTATATATTCAGTTCGTTGGAAATTCTTAACTGCGTTGCGAATAATGAAATAGAAAATTCAATCTCCTCGTAGAAATGTATATAATCTGCGATTAAGAATCTCACATCGACTTGGCTCTTTTGCCTGAAATTAAATATTATCTTCAAAGATGTAAAAAAATAAGTATAATCGCAAGATGGAGGATACTCGCTGTACCGTGATGTTTGTTTTCTCTGTTTCTTTTTTGCTATAAATTTGCAGGTATCGGAGAATCTGTTGCAAGTGTATCTCGACGAATATCCAGTGACCCCGTGGGAATCATTGAAATACCTCATAGCAGGTGTCTGTTATGGTGGTCACGTGACCGATGACTGGGACCGTCGTTTGTTGATGACGTACGTACAACAATATTTCACCGAAGAGGCCCTGACTGTCCCCCATTATCGTTTATCATCGCTACCAACCTATTTCATACCGAGAGACGGTTCGTTGGCGTCCTATCACGATTTCATCGTGGTTCTACCGTCCATCGACAAACCGGAAGCGTTCGGTCAACACCCGAACGCGGACATCACCTGTTTAATCATGGAAACCAGGAATATGTTCGAAACTCTGATGGGACTTCAGGTTCAGGCCGTTGTCGAGGAAGAAATTACTAAAGAGGAGAAGGTTCGTCAAACGTTACGACAGAATATTAAACTTCGTTTAAAAGTTCGTTGATATTAGGTCACGTGAAATATCGAATTTGTCCTCGTTCAACGTTTGGTTTCTGTTCTACATTCGAGCTATCCTTTGATTAAAACTTGCTTGATATTTCTGGCATGCTTGTTATATACTCAGGAATGATGCTTTTGCAAGGAATTTTGAATTTCACTTTTCTCTAGACGATTTCTTTCTTCGGCATTCTCACTGCCCTGAAGTGAATTTCGCACCCTTTTCTATAGAGGAATCTTTCAGAGAACATTCACCAGATTTTTACCTTTTCAGAAGTGTGGGATCAGTCAGAATCTTGCGTCAGAAAATGTAATTCAGAGTTTGTCGCTTCTTCGAGAAGAACCGAAACTTCTTCGAAAAGAGTATTTTCTCACTAGAATTTCATTGGGTGAACGTCGCGGTGCCTATTTTGATTAGAGTGAAAAAAAATTATTAAAATGTCCGACATAAATTTTTGTGTAAAAATCCAACAAAAGTACCTTAAATCTTTTGTAATACAAATTACTAAATTTGCACTTAGCTTTAGTACAATTGGAATTAATTAGTTACTGGTTGATTATAGTTAGTCAGATTAATAATAATATTATAGTAAACACAAAAGTCAATGTCAGGTCACTCAGTTAATCACGGACGTGCTGTCGAGAATACCGGACGACATCAATTACGAGACAGCTCAGAAACTGATTGGCCCGAAGAAAACACCATTGGACGTGGTGTTGCTGCAGGAGATACAACGTTACAACGTTCTCCTAAGAAAGACCCGCGACAGTTTAAATGATCTTCAACTGGCGATCCAAGGTTTGCTGTTGATGTCGCCGGATCTTGAGGAGATCTTCAACTCCGTATACGAAGGTCGAGTCCCCTCGATTTGGCTGACAGCGTATCCGTCGTTGAAGCTGCTGGGCGCCTGGACGAGGGATTTAGTCAGCAGGGTGGAACACTTCAGTGAATGGGCTCAGACTACTCATCCGCCGTTGCTGTTCTGGCTGGCCGCGTACACGTTCCCAACTGGCTTCCTTACCGCTGTATTACAGACATCCGCCAGGCTCTGGAACGTCTCGATCGATTCACTGTCCTGGGAATTCACCGTTTTTACGATCGACGAGTCGGCCATAATCGAGCCGCCAGTGGTAATTTTATATTAAGTACTGTACTCCTTAAGTCTTAAGGGGCCCATAGACGTTTAAAACATGCTGCGATGCATGCATCAACTCCTAGGTTTCATGAAACATCAGCTTGCCTCCAGCTCCAATATTAGTGATAGTAATATTAGGTTTATTATCACTTACAAAAAAAAAAAAGAAGATTTTCCAATTCCGCGTAGAACTAAAAACGAATGAGCCTTGTGACTATAAAAATTATCTTATGGACGACCGTGCCTTTTACTATCTGTTAAATAAGATTTATTTTAATAATGAAGGCAGTGTTTCAAGAACAAATGGCAAACAATAATACAATTAAATAAACACTATGTATTGTCACTTTAAATATAAAAATGTATACGTACCTCATCTTCTGTATTATTTTCTACCGGTTCATTTTCTGTTTCATCATTCAAAGACGACATTCCCTGACGAGGTATTTCGCAATCTGTGATAAATTTTAGTGAATTGTTTTTTTAACTCTTTCCGGAAACTGCACCTCATACTATGAATTCTTTTAGTAACAAAATCTTTGCTAGCAGCCGGATATTTTTCTTTGCATTTTTCAATTAGTTCATTACGCATGTTTCTGTTTGCATACGCTTCTATTTCGTTATTCCACAAACACTCGTGTAACTTGTAAATATTTATAAATTCGTCTCAAAATTCTTTATCTATTTCCATTTTCGTCGAACTGTCTGTTTATTTTCTATAAGTGTCACTCGGAATCTTGGCTCACCAATTGAACCGTGATTCCAATTTTTGCATCAGGATCACTTGAAGACGAGAGGGCGACTTTGTTTAAATTGGCTACAGCCAATCGAATTCGATATTTTTCTCCAAGTTGCCTAGAACGGACTAGACTTCATCGTTACATTGTCCATCAATTGTATAATATATTATTTATTACTCTATATTACAATGACATTTAATTCAGTTATTTAAATTAATTTCATTTTAATTTAAATTATAAAGAAATTGTTATAATTAATCTTCTTGTAGTAGAAATTTTCTATTAAAACGAAACATTTACTTAATTATATTATTAATAGACTCCATTCTAGTTTAAGAATAAGACAACAATCCGAAACTTTCTTTCTCCAATTAATGCTAGAAGTCTATTCCTGCATCAGTGATTCCTTGCTTCTCATCAATGATGCATGCATCGCAGCATGTTTTAACGTCAATGAGGGCCTTTAAGTTTAACTTTAATTACGTCGGTAATGAAGTACGCTGGCAATTTTGCTCTTTAACACTTTATCGCTGAAATCGATGTGAAACTGTTTGTTCATTATTTCCAAAAACTGAAGTGGATAGATTCGTGTATATTTCGTACGTTACACGGGAAAATATGAAAGATATATATTAGTAAACTATTCATTAGGAAATCATTATTTAGGAGATAAAGCAATTATAAATTTCCATAAAAATCAGCAACCTATCGATGCATATGTATATAAATATATAACTATAAAACGCACTTCCATGCGCCTGTTGACAAAGAGTTGTTTAAATCTTAATGAAGATAACACTGTTTGAAGAAATAAAAATATTTCGATAAATTGTTCCCGTTTCCCGAAAATGGTACGCCTGGAAATCAATCCAATTATTCTGGTTTCCGACAGTTGTCTCAAGAAAGAAGAAACGAGCCGCGGAAAAATAGAGTGGGGGGGGGGGATAAAGAATTCAGCGTGGTAATATCGGTAGGAAAATGGCGGCGTGTGTGCATGCCTCTAATCGTGTGTACATTCCATTACAGGACGGCGTGTACATACGCTCTATCTTTCTGGAAGGCGCTGGCTGGGACAAGAGGAACAGTGTCCTCGTCGAGCCGGCTCCCATGCAACTTGTTTGCAACATGCCGGTAATTCACTTCCGGCCCACGGAACAGTTTAAAAAGAGAAGCAGAGGTATAACGACGCCGATGTTGAAATCACCCGAGAAAAGTTACTCGCCACGTTTAAAAAAAAAAAAAAGAAAGAAAAAGAAAAAGCCTTTGCCATTTTCAATGATTATGTAATAGGAAAGGATAATACTTCGTTGATCTCCTTGGCAGACGATAAATTTCTGTTAGAATTTTGTTCGTTCCCCTCCGAGCACAACAACGATCTCTACTTGCATTTTTTCAACATCATAATCGAAATATTTTCAAAAACTGAGATCAAATTATGATCACTATAATGAAGAATATAATTGTAACAATAACTAACTTAACTTCTAAAATTAAGCTTCTTTTGAACATTGACAATCGTGAATTCGTTTATTTTCGAGGATGACTTTGCATCATATAGATAGAAAAGTGAGAACATTTTCTTCCCGAAAAACATGAAAAATTTTCTTTTCGCAATCAGATCTATCGTCATTTTGAAATTTTGAAGATTCCACTTTACAAAACGTATGTTGTTTTACATATCGACAATTTTCCATTGTCGTGTAAATAAATTTAAAATACTTGGAATATCAATTTTGACAGATATTTCCTGTATCACCGTCTTTTCTTTCAATTTCTGTACACAGGATCCTACACGTGTCCCTGTTACTATTATCCTCAAAGAAGCGGGGCTGAAGGACGACCATCGTTCGTGGTAGCGGTCGATCTAAACGCAGGTCCAGAGGGATCGGATTTCTGGGTTAAAAGAGGCACTGCTCTGTTACTAAGTCTCTCCACATAGATCCGTATTATCGTTATCATTGTTGTTGTTGTTGTTATTATTATTAATTAATTAATTAATATTTCAAGCGCGACCGTAGTAAAGGAACAAAATATCAGTTTCAATACATCACTCTCTCACTCTCCCTTTTGATTCCTTCCTATTACTATACTTGTGTGTTAGTATGTAACAAAAGTTTGTCTTTATAAATAATAGAATATATACAACAATTTGCAATAGAACAAGTTGTGATCCCTTTACACGCGAATTTAGAACCTCGATGCCATGGTGAACACGTGGAACGAGCTCACGAGACAAGGGACGATCAACCAATCCGTGAATTTTTTAGGATTATCCGACGACGATGATTCTGGCTCGGCGGCTCTGACTATCGCTGCCGCTTGTTTCTGTTTGTCGATGTTTTTCAATGCATCTGAAATCGTTTTATTCGTTCGCGATGCGTACTGAATCCACTCTATTGGTGGAGCCGTGGTTGAATTCACTGGTGGTTCAAGGTCAGACAGCTTGTCTCTAGCTTCGAGCAAAATCCTCACTACATTTCCCGTTTCTACCTGACCTTCCTTCCTCAAACTATCCACCAAATTCTTCACGGTGGAATTCAGCTGCGCTTGAAAGCTGATCCAGTCAGCCGCGGTTTTGTTATCATACGTGTCCGCGACCAAACTCCTCAGAGCTGATAATTCGTTCTTGATGTCGGCGAAAGACTCGTTGAACATCTCGTGAAGCTCGTCGAAGTTAAATCGATCGGTCGCATTCGCAGTATTCAGGATATTCATCACAGTGTCGTTGATTTGTTTCTTAAAATCGGCCCATTCGTCAGGAGGGACGACTGGCTTGATAAACTTGGTATAATCAAACTTGAACGAGCTCTCAGATTTGTCGAACGTAGCTTGAAGACTCAAAGAACTTCTGTTTGGTTTCAATTTGCTTATTTCCGCGAGCCAGTCAGCCTTCGTGCTTGCAATTTCATCTTTCAGCTTCGCGAAATCGTTCTTTACGGAATCCTTGAACGCGGCCCAAGCGATCGGATCGACCTCCGCTGGTTTCTTGCTCTGAATATCCTGGATCAGTTTGGTCAAGGAATCGTTGATCTGTGCTTTGAATTGTAACCAATCACCTGTCAAGTTGGCCAGCTGCGTGTTGTTAAATTTACCTGTCGAGGAAGCTCTTAAATATCCATGTTGGGGGATTTCACTTAAAGAAGACAACGTCGCAAGTTCTATGGGCGGTGGAGTGCTCTTGAAAGCAGAGAAACTCTTTACGATCTCGTCTCTGTACGAAGCCCACGCCGGATCGCCTGGTGGAGGCATTTCGTTCTTGATCTTACTCACAGCGTCATTTACTGTGTTGATGATATCAGATTTGTAGCCTGTCCAATCATCATTGACGTGTGGTTTCTCCATAGCTAATTCAACAGGAGCTGCCGTGGATCTCTGGCTATCGATCTTGTCCCTGAACGTGGAAAATCGATCTTTGATATCGTTTCCAAAAGTGGCCCAAGCTGGATCACCAGGAGCAGGCATATTGCCATTTATACTCGCAATACTATCGTTTATGGAGGATATGATATTATCCTTAAAGTTCTTCCAGTCAAAAATTGCAGGAATCGTAGCACTCTTGATAGTCGAGGACTCTGTCAATTTGTTCATCAAAGCCTGTTCTTCCGCGTTGTTCTTCAATTTCGCAGCAACGTCTGCCTTCATGGACGAGATCTGATCCTTCAAATCGGCAAACTGATCGACGATATTCTGTTTAAAAGCTATCCACTTGGCCACTGCGGCCGGTCCACCGCCGATCGTTTGTATAGAGTCATTCAGTGACTTCACCAGATTATTTTTGAACGTAATCCAATCCTGATAAACACTTGGTGATCCTGCTGCTCTTAAAATGGGGCTGTCAGAGTCGGTTGACAATTTTTCCTCGAGTGTTGTAGTATCGTTTGTCTTCGGTGAATGCAAACCAGATAGTTGATCTTGAAGATCAGAGAATGTATCGTTTATGTAATTCTTGAAGGCTAACCAGTCAGTGTCTATCATGGTCCTAGAACTGTTGATGTAAGTCACGACGTCTCTGATTGTATCGTTAATGTTGTTCTTAAATGCGGTCCAGTTGACTGGCATGAAAGTAGCTCGTAACGTGGGAGGCGTTGAACCGTTTTCTCTCCATGGTTCAAAGGATGGCGCTGGAATGTCTTCGCAGGATATCATAGGATTTTCTGGACTCTCTGCTCGCATAACTTCCGCCTGAGTTTGTGTTACGCCGTCGGAACAGTCGCAGATCAATCTCGCCAGTGTCGTTTTGCGTAATTCTGTAAGCTGGTCTGAGAACAAAAAAATAAATAAATGAATAAATATTATCATGCATCTGCGTTATTATATGTTATAATCTTGTTCGGAAGTTTGGAAAAATGTTAGTGAGAAACGAAACTCAACAAAAGATTCTAGTTATTCCAATGGCAATAAAATTTCTTCCATTTTAATAAAAGTGTTTCTTTATAAAAAGAAAAAGACAAGTTTCTGCGACAAACAATTTTTCCACGTGAACTGAAAATTCGATTCTAAAAGAATTAAAGTGTGTGATGTTAATATACGATTAAAATACAATTTCTGGATCGTCTGATCGTCAACAATTGTCCTACCTTCTGTGAACGAATGCGGTTGTCCAGGCATCTCGTACCAGAATCTGTCTCCCTTCTGCAACCTAACAAACTGATCAGTGATCAAGCATGCAAAAGTGGGCCCGACAATGCCATCAGCCTTGGGTAATTCAGCCAAAGCTCCGGTATATAAATCGACATCGTGAACCGACTTGTACAAAGAGGAAATGTCCTCGAGAGCCTGCGGATCCAAGTGTCCTTCCAAGTCGGAGAAACTTTCCGCCTTGCCCAGTCCGCAATAATCCCTCCATTTGGTGTATCCAGGTAGGCCATGATCCCTTCCACGTTGGATATTCAACGACACCAAATCCAAGCCGCAGGGAACGGTAACGTTAGCGACGGGATCTTCGAACAGATGATTAGTCAACTGAGAAGTGACATGAGTGGACGTCATCTGGATCACGTTCCTCGTGGCGGAAGTCACTGAACTCTTCACTCCGCCCTCTGCGTACAAACTATACGGATTGAACAGCATTCTGTGCAGTTCTACGTAAGAAGAAGTTCCCCTTTGCTCGTCAGCGACTTTCATCAAACCAGGCAACAGAGTGTGAGCGAATCTAAAGGCGGCTGCTGCGAAACTGTTAGCTATGCTTGGGTCGGTACCAGACTCATCCGTATCTGCGGTCCATTGTCTGTAGCCAGACTGGAGAGGCCTGAGATCGCGTAGATTCGTTTCTTGCTCTCCCAGGATAATGGGTATGAATTCTTGATAGGTGATATGCTGCAATTGAGCGGCCACTATACGCCGAGATTCCTCATACAGAGTTTCATCGTCCCAAGAAGGATTGATCTTGGCCAATTTCTCGGCGACTCTATTGTGCTGTCGCGCCCAGAGCAAATGCATCGTCGTCAAGTGCAAGTTCTCGTTTGCCCTGGCGTCGCCGGCTGCGAAGCAGTACCTGCCTCTCAGCCTTTCGGCCTCCCGATTACAACCGTCGTTAGGATTCGTGCTCGGTGGTAATAGAGTTCGATTGTCCGGCGTTAGCTGCATCGTCAGTCGCCCGCCAGAAAACTCACGCAGCTTGCGTGCTGTGCCTTGGTCGGATCCATAGATCGCTGAACCATCGATGAACGCCGTCACCTGTGTGCGAAACACAATGTCTATTCATCCGTTTGCATCGCTTTGAGACGAAACAGATAGACGAAAGAGGTGGCACTCTTTGAAATCGAAGAGAGCAACGAGCACGAAGGCAGTGTTTAACAGTGTAATTTCGTTCCCATTGTCCGGCTGGCCATTGTGCGAAATCGTTATTAGGGAGATAACGAATGTGTCATTACGATCGACGCGCCGTGATAATCAAGTTAATTAACAACGCGACGCGCCGATCGCGTATATTGTTCCAGGTGCCACATTTTTCATTCGCCAGTGAGATATCAGTTTCACGCGGCTCCGTTCGAAACTTCATTATACGCGAAGAATTAACGCGCTCAATGTTAAAACCTCGATTTATACGAGGACGGTCGTCAATCGTCGAAAGAAACGGAACTGCATACCTGATTCAACTGTTGCCTGGGGCCGAGTTTGCACTGGGGCGCAGGTGCAGATCTGGCGAAATCCATGCACGTTCTGCCGGTCACGTCGAAAACAGGATCTCCGGCGGACACCGGAACAGAGAAACACTCTGGATGGCCGACAGACGGTGGACAACAAGAGATAGAAGTGCCGTTGATACCCTGACTGATCGCGGTGGCGGTGATATCGTGGTCCAAGAACTGGCCGTAAACAGCCAGCATCACGGTGAAGTGAGGATTGCTGCTTGGCGAAGGTTTGTGAACCTTCAGGCTGACTTCTCTCGCCGAGGGTAGCTCGGATCCTGAAATTGCTCGACGAGGAGTCTCGATACCATCGGCGTAGTTAGGCGGTAGAATCCTTCTGAAGGGTGTCATCGTTGCTCCCCGTTGCATCCGTCTGTTGCAACTTCCATCGAAGGTTCTGTATTTACTGGACGGACATTCCGGAGTGACTAGCTGCTTGCAAACACCCGAAGACTGCCAGCCTGCGTCGAAGAAGCTGCCCACGGCAGAGGGTGCTCCGAGGAGGAGCCTTGAACTCTCGATTCTTTTGGTCGCTGCAAGTTCTGCTACAGCTGCCAGAGCTAGTGTTCCAGTGCTCATGCAGGTGCTTACCGCGTAACGGTGTCTTACTTCCGGAGATGGTGAGGGTAACGGAGACATCAGTGCAGTGACGTCTGCGAAGAGTCGATCGTTAACAGCTTGACGGCCTGCCTCCAAGCCTTCTTTTATCTCGTCATCCGACAGTTTCGTCGCAGTGGTGTCCTTTGTGGATTTGTCGGGCACGAATATAGAATTGGAGGCTGGCACAGCGGGAGGATTGCTAAAGAGAGTGTAGGATCCAGATCCTGGGGCGAAGCCCAGTTTTAAAGTACCGGTGAGGTTCTGAACGGTGGATTGAGACGAAGAAGTGGTGAGATTCGAACCGGAAGCGTCTAGTATGTCGTGGCTCACGGAGTAGCTTATTGTTATAACGAGAGCCATGGTGAAGATCGCTCTGAAATAAAGGCACAATAACGATTTATAACAGTATGCTTTGTATTCATATCCATAAATATATTTTTTACAATTCTAAAAAAACTTCGAAAAAAATGTAAGAAAATTCTGTGACAAATTATCTACATCTTGCACGATCATTCGTTGTAATTTTTCTCAAGAAAAATAAGAACTTTCTTCGGAGAAATTATTGGATGAAATTGCGTTCGTTTACCTGAAAATGCGTGGAAATGAAAATAATAATTCTTTGGTGACTCTTCAGAAATTAAAATTAAATAATTCCGTAGTAATCGACGTAAAGTCTCGTCTTAACAAATGGCGCTCGGTGTGCAAATTAAACGAACGCCAGATGTAAATTTTCGAGATTTTGCGAAAACTCATCGATTCAAATCGGATAGAATGTATGATGTATCTTAGAGACAGTTTCTTTGCACGTAACGTTGGGCAACCACACTGTCATCGTAGAATTGCGCATATAATCAAGGCCAACATCACGTAACGTTAATTAGCCTAACGCACAAGACGCCAAGTTCCACGCAACATTGTTTACGTCTCGTAAACGAATTACGAGGTGTTCTACTCTGCAAATGCGATCAGAATAAATCGTTGTTCTTAATACTCGTGAGGGAGAGCCTTCAAACGACACGGGCAATCCGCTGTTTCATTAACGAGCAATGTAGAAATCTAAAAAAAATCTAAAAGCTGAAAGTAAAAACAAGTGACGTCGATGATCAGGATAGAATTGCCGCGCCGTAAACTCGTTGTAAACTCAGCCGCGTGTTCAACGTGTCTAGTGCCCAGGCGAAACCGCAACAGAGAAACCGCGGTTTCGTTATTGCACGGATCCCTTTTACTTCACGCACTCGTTTCGATGTAATCTAAAGTTAAGTACATTTCTATTGCAGCTAATTCTATGAAAGTATCAGTCAGTCGTAATTTCCGTGTCGTAATGAAAATGTTGCAGACATCACTCGACGAAAATCAGTCGACGACCGATGAGCGATCGAAATTGAACTGTGTCAGTCTCAATGTTGCTCCAAAACCATCTTATCTACCATTTCTGTCTGTTTGAAATAAAATCGCGGGGAAACGAGAACAGAAGCAAAAATGATGCGACTCACACCGCGATCGTGTACGCGAGACATCGTAGCCGCAGCCGTTGCCTCCTCTGATGAGAATAAAATGGCAACGCCTCGTGCACGTAGTACACCCTGGCTGACTTGTCGTCGGTCAACGAAGTCTTCTCCGACGAAGGCATTCTTCGTTACACGCGAACCCAAGACCGGACTGAAACGGTCGACCGGTTGTTCGATGTGAGAGATGATTTTATGTAAGCATACGCTTACGGTGGGGATTCGATGCGCAATGACTTTTTTCTTTTTCCTTCACTAGGATACGATGGTATACTTAATAAACTCGTTCCTTTATGTGGATTCCGGAGTTGAAGATGCACTCGGGAATCTTCTCGACATTGTCATCTTTCAAATCTCACTTACGCAACAATTCGTCGACCGTATGTAATTTTCAAGTTGTGAATTATAGATTTCTGTTTTGTGATTTTTATAATTCTACGTCGGTTATAGGATAATTGAATACTTTGTAGAATTTCGTTTGACTTGAAAATCGAATTTGTCATTCATAAATATGCAATAATCATAAATTATCAACGATTATAAAATTTCAGTGCGCAAGAGAATCTAAAGGATTCATTCTCAAGAGTGGTAATTTTAATTTAATATTATACGAGTACATTAAAATTATGATTAAAGAAAATTTCAGGCAAAGAACTTCGATTGATTATACATACCATTTCGCGTAATTTATTTAGCAGACTGTCGTGTGCTTTGCATCATGCGTGCAAGGCAGACTGCCTTCTCTTGTAATTACATAAACACGCAGACACAAATACTTAATGCGTTCGGATTGATGGTGTAAATCGCAATTTAAAACACATGTAAAGCATCGAACATTCCAATAACGGACAATAATACTCTTATCATCTCTACTGGAAAACAATAGTCGGATATAGAAAAAAAAAAAAAAAAATACACTCTGATAAATTGTTCATGAAAAAATCTCTGTTGCAACAGATCTAGTTAAGTGTAAAGAAGATTACAGAGGATTTTAACATTTTTAACAATAAAAGAATATGAAAGCAACGCTTAAATTAAAATTCTTTAATCTTTCAATATATATCCACTAGTATATTCTCCCCGTATTTTTTTTTTTTTTTTAAAGAAAAAAAATATAGAAAATTTGTTCAGTAATCTAGAGACAGGAAGAAGATAGAAGTAGAATGAAAAGTCAGGAAAGGAGTGGACTTACATTAAAGTGGCGCAGATGCAGCACTGAAACTGTCTGATTCGAGTTTTCCGGGTCCTCAACAAGCTGGCGAACTCCACGTAGTTCGGAGAATCCAAGGGTCTCGTAAGTGAGGTCCTTTCGTTAACTCGTCTGTCCGAATGCATGACGGGCGATGAAAAGAAATCTCGTGGAAAATACTGGTTGTATCGCGTCGACGATCACGATGGTGAACAGAAGTGAACTGGCGTGGACAACGTCGACACCGGTTCAACTCGACTCCGGTCGAGACGACTCGGCTTACCGAAGAGGAACCGACGCGAAACGGAACTTCCGGTCGCCGTGAACACCCTCTTTCTATCAACACATTGTCAAGATATCACCTGTCACTTTCTACACTGCATTCTTTTATCAACAAGTTAGTGGTACGAGAATTAGAACTGCTTCTCGATGAAGGACATTGAAAAGATTATTATTATTACTTTAACCGTGCGAATTTATTTATTACAAAACTGTAGCATTGTAATATTTATCAGTACATTGTCAACGAGAAGTTGAAAAAACAGTGATCTACGTCAACATCATGATTAGACTGCCATTTTTTATGCATCTATAATTTAGCAAATTTCAAGATTTAAAATGTTCTAAATGTAAATGATGTAAACATAGAAAAAAATAAGCTAGAGCGTTCGTTATGATATGTAATAGGTGAGAGAAATTTCTGCTTAGACTTTATCTCTTTTTTATTTAGTTGTGAATCTTGATCACTCTAATCTTGATTATAGAAATCTAGAATTAACTATAAAATAATCGGATAACAGATTCCAATGTACTTTAAACTTTATTCATCAAGTATAATTACTATTATTACATAATTTAGGGCAAACAAAGAAGATATTCAGATCACTCGTTTGTGAAGATTTGTACATGATGTGACAACAAGTTGAAGTTTGTATTAGAAGCAAAAAGTGAAATAAGAAAAAATTGGATACATAATGAGAAGTAATTCAATTGTGGACAGAAATTTTGTCTTGGACGAAAACGTCCAACTAAAAACAGACAGATTACATTTATTGTTCAGACAGAAATTCTGAAAATAATCGCAAGTAACAAAACACTATCTACAATGTATAAAACAGATAATTAATGCATATACTCGAAAGACTAGTTAGATTATTCGGTTGAAGCAATAAGTTTTAAGTATAAAGTAGGATTTTTCAGAACGTTGAGTAAGGATCACATGACAGGATCAATATCGATTTTTATCCAAGAGATAGAAGAAGCTTGCCAAGTAGGAAAAGCGAAATATCAGTAAACAAACTATAACTGAACGGTGAAACACGATACGAAAATTTCCAAGCACATTCGATGATCTTAAAATCATTTTTGAGCAACCAATCAAATTCTAGACTATCAAAAGTTCTCGAATTTTTACGAGTCAGGATCATGAGTGTGTAAGGATGTGAAAATAGAAGAAAAATCGTGATGAAGTTTCTGGGTGGGCTATTAACGTAACAGGCAGCGAGAGCAACAGTCGAAGATAAAAGCAATTAAATCGGGATTACTCTTAAATCGTCCCGGCTATCTTCGCATTCACTCAGAACACCTTGACGAGCCACTGTTATCGAACATTCTATGCGTATACAGTGCTCTATACACGTAAACATATCTACGCTAGCTTTACGAGTCGACTGGTTTGCGTTATATAAGAAGAATTGAGGATCAACGGCTGAGGCTGAAACACGAGTTGCCTCGCCGCACTTTTATTCTGCGGTGTGTCTGTGGATCGAGGCTGAGAAACAGAGCTCCGTTTAGGAAAAAGATCATCGACACCGTTGCAGAACCAATCGTATACTAAAGTAGCGCGAAAGTTAATAACGAGACTTCAATATCGTAGCTTGTATGGCACAGCAAGCACAAACGTCGAATATTCGCAGCGATTAATGC